GCCAATTTGGACTAATTTTAAAGCCAATTTGTCCTCAATTCAATTAAAAGCAAGTTATCATTTTAGTTAAAAACAGATCATTTACGTTATAATTAAGAAATTTATGAGAAATTATTGAAAAATTATATTTTCACTAACCTTTTAAAAATTAAATTTAAGTTCAATGAATACCAAATTTCAAGCTAATTCAGTCCACAAAATGTACTATAATTATTGTTATCTTCTGATTCATAACATCATTACCTTGTAAACCGCTCCGAATCCTCCTTCTCCAAGTTTATTTTCATCAGAGAAGTTATTAGTTGCGGTCCGAATAGTGGCTAAGTCATATTGCAAAGACTCGGCCTTGATCATTTCATCTCCTTCTGCAGTTGCCAAAAGCAAGACATGGAAAGGGAGTAAGAATAAAGAAATTATCAAGCAGGAGGAGTGCATTTCGAAAATACTAGTATTACTTACTTTCGATAATTTCCCTTCGCTTTCTGAGTTTTAAACAGATCCAAATACAGAGGACAAGTGACAGAATGCCGACTACCGAAGCGACGACGACAATGATGATTATCCGAGTTTTGTTGCTCCTATTTCCATTTCCATTTCCTGCACAACCCAAAAGTTTCCACCCACAGGTTGAATTATATATAATCTAACTATCTAATAGCACAATTACCCGAAAAGAAAAGAAGCAAACTTTACCTTCTGGTGGAGAAGGTAAAGACAGCGGTGGCGGAGGCTGAGGAATGCCTTCTACTGCAAAAAATGGTCTGGTCTCATATCTCAAATTACAGCTGGGTTGTAGAATTCTGCATCCGATCGACCGAGTGCAGTAAGGATCCATCTTTCCCATTGCCGTTGTTAGACAATCGCTGCAATCCTTCTGCGATAGCTCGGGAGTGCACTGCTCGAGAGCGTAAATTACCGAAAGGAAAGTCGGACCAGTCGTGTTATCGGCCGCATATTTGAGAAAAGGTCCTCCAGCAGCCGCACGGCTCCTCAAGTTAGTCAACAAGGGTCTCAACGCTCGATTGAACCCATCAACATCCGACGCGTTGTACTTATTATAGAAAATCTGTTCAGGTTCGGATTTCATGGATCCAAAGAGTTGTTGACTTGAGTAGTGTAACGTACAGAATTCTGACCATCCGATTGCCTCTTTGTATTTGGGACATCGCTGCTTGAGTTCGGAGATGCTGTCGTTCAGGCAACTTCTGCAAACGTCCTCTTTTTGGTCTCCCCTGCAAAGTCCGATTGCGTTGACCTGGTCAGGGCTCCGACCGACGGACAGATTGTAGAACCCATAATTGAAATCCGCCGTGGTGGATAGCTGAGAAAACAGAAGGTTGAGGTTGGTCCCGTAAATGCTGTTGGCGGTGAAGTTGCCATTGTTAACACAAGTAGCCTCGAAGTAGAGATCCTTAGCAGAAATGAGAGTTATGAGAAAAACAGAGAAAAGTAAGATCAGAAAGAGTTCTGAAGATCCCATTTGCCTTTCTTCTAAAAGCCTTTAAAACCCAAGCATTTAAGGGAAAATAGCCATTGATGCCTGATGAAATTTCTGTGAAGTTAGTTTAATAAGCAATTATGAATGGATGGAGATTGGAGTGGTTAGTGACAAAACCATTAATGGATGAATTTGACCACTTGCGCTTATGAAAACCATATTGACGTGACTAATGAGGCAATAGCTTATTTTTGGTCCCTTACCTTGATAAATTTAAAGGTTTTAGTCCCTCACCTTATAATATAACACTTTTAACTTTTCATCTATATGGAATCGAAACAATTCATACAAAAAAAAACCTTATTTGTAATTTCCATTACACATCCGTCACAGTCCGTCACAAGTCCGTTACTTCCGTCATTTCCTTCACACCGTCCGGTACATTTCCGTTAACATTGTCCTGCCTATATAATAAACAAATGAGAAAGCTTCTCTAAGAAGCCGGCTGCATGTTTTTTTTTTGGGAATTCTAACATTTTTTTAC